GAGAAGAGAAACCGAGTGAATTCCACGCCCACCCGCCGGGGGGGGAGGGAGGAGGAGGAGCCTGAAAGGGGAAGTTCCTCGCCCCTCCTTTTTCCGTCGGAGGCGGAATAGAGACGAGGGGGGGCGCTGCGGTGGAGCCGGAAGGGCCGGGCTGCCGCTGACCGGGTGTTCGGCCTTCAGGCCTAGGGCAAGTCCGGCTTGCGCCGAAGAGCGCACGTAATTGAAAGGCGCGCCCGAGAGCAAAGGAGGGGGCCGCTGGGCAGGGAGGCAGCGCTGCTTCGCGCTCCCGAATCAGCGTCGATGTGCGATAACGGAGGACCGCAGACACACGTAGCCCTTAGTGGTTCATAGTTGGTACTTTCATGTATAAGTTTTAAAACGACTAAAATAGGATGTAGGTGTAGAAGGAGTGCCCGCAAAATTGATATTTCGTCCTTTTTTTTCACTTTTGTTTCTACATGTTTGACGAAGTGGACTTGTTCACGAAAGCTCACATTAAAATATAGTAGTCAGTCTTTAAGGTGCCACCTGTTTTTCGTTTGGTTTGGTTTCTTTGGATTTTGCCTCTATAAATGAAGATGCTGTGCTTAAATGAGACACAGATTTGCAGAAACATGTTTGCCATAGTCCTGTCGTATAATTATTGTTAACCTTGCATATTAATATTTTTTTTGGCTGGAATAAGTAACCACTGAAGTAAAGACTCTTGAATGGACCACAAGCAGGGCAAGCCTGCTTGAGGTGAAATGTGGGATACTGCAAGGCTTAGTCCTGGGCCCAGTGATCTTCAACATTTTTATTAATGTTTATTAAGGGAGAGCAAGACACAGTTCTGCAGATGACACAAAATCGGATGGGATAGCTAATACCTTGCAAGACAGGAACAAAATTCTAAAAGATCTTGATAGGCTTGAGCACTGCACTGAAAACAGAATGAAATTTAACAGTGATATTTGCAAAGTTCTACCTACTTCTAGGAAGGAGAAACCAAATGCACAGTTACAAGGTGGGGGGTACTTGGTTCATTAATACTACAATCTTGGAATTGTAGATCACAATGTAAGCCAACAGTGCAATGTGGCTGCAAAAAAAGTCCAGTGCTTTTTTAGGATGCATTAGCAGAAGTATAGTATCCAAATCCCATGAGGTACTACCCTGTTTCCCTGAAAATAAGACGGGGCCTTATATTAATTTTTGCTCCAAAAATGCGTTAGGGCTTATTTTCTGGGGATTTTTTTCTTGTACAGTTTGTACGCTTGTACAGTCACATCATCTTCTGGTTGCTGCACAATGGTGGAGGGCAAGCTTTCACTTAACTAGGGCTTATTTTGGGGGTAGGGCCTCTATTACAAGCATCCTGAAAAATCATACTAGGGCTTATTTTCAGGTTAGGCCTTATTTTCAGGGAAACAGGACAGTCCCCCTCTATTCAGCACTGGTTAGGCCTCATCTAGTACTGTGTCCAGTTTTGAATACTGCACTTTAGGAAGGATGCCAACAAATGAGCAAGCTCAGAGGAGGACAACAAGGATGATCAGGGACTTGGAAACCAAGCACTGTGATGAGAGACTGAAAACTGGGCATGTTTAGCCTGGAGAAAATAAGACTGCCAGGGGAGGCATATAGCACTTTTCAAATACTTGAATAGAGGAGGGGCAGATCTATTCTCAATCATCCCAGAGTAGATTCAAACTACAAGAAGTCAGATTTAGGCTGAGTATCAGGAAAACATCTTAACAGAGTAGTACGACAATGGGACTAATTATCTCAGGAGGTGGTTATTGTTCCAACACAGGAGGCATTCAAGAGAGAATTGGACAGTTATCTTTCATATCTGCTTTAATTTCGATTCCTGCATTGAGCTGGGTGTCGGACTCAGTGGCCTTAGAGACCTCTTTCAACTCAGTTATTCTATGATATTAAGTCCAAGAAACATTGCTGCATGAGTCAGAATAGCAGAATGACCCTGACCTTCCCAAGTCAAGACTTATGCTATAGAAAGGCAGGCAAGTTATTTAGGCATTTGGAAACAGAACATCTCTTTTTCATCTCTCCCAGTAAAAATACAGTCTTAACCCAGTTATCATACCTGACTTCAGATATCACTACCTTTTGCTGTTAAGAATTGCTGAATAGTTTAGTTTTCTGGCTGTGAAGCCAGCGGGTCAATCCCCCACCGTCCCTACTTGTCAGGGGCTGGATTTGATGATCCATAGTGTTCCTTCCAGCTCTGCTATTCTAAAGTGGTGGTGGTGGTTGGCAGTAACTGCTGCTGCAAAACAGCCTTAGAAGGGTGTCTGTAGGAGAGATGAATATAGACAAATATTAACAGATCGACGAATAAAAATGAGAAATTATTAGTCAAGCCATATTTGTTGGGATTTATAATTTGACGAATTATAAATTTTGGCTATATTCGTAAAAAAAACCAATCCATTTTTATATTCATCCCCATCTCTAGTTTTTAATAATATTCTTTAAAGAGTCTTTAAAAACAAATTCTCCATATTTTCCTTAATCTTCTAAAACTAAAGATCACTCCATATTATCTCTTTAATGATTACTATAATTTCTGGTATATAACTCAATTGATGATCTATGTAATATAATTTAATATCAGGTATCCCCAAACAACAAGGCCAGTGTAGGTGATGGCATTCCAGTTGAACTATTTAAAATCTTAAAAGATGACGCTGTTAAGGTGCTACATTCAATATGCCAGCAAGTTTGGAAAACTCAGCAGTGGCCAGAGGATTGGAAAAGATCAGTCTACATCCCAATCCCAATGAAGGACAGTGCCAAAGAATTCTCCAACTACTGTACAATTGCCCTCATTTCGCATGCTAGCAAGGTTATGTTCAAAATCCTACTGTGAGGGTTCGGATTGCGTGGCCTCCCTGTCTCCCAATAAACCATGAGTCATTTTTTAATCAAAAGAACTGTCTTTGTTTATTAACGCAGGTAATGGAATAGAAACAACAGGATTACTTACAAACTTCTCCTGCAAGATCAATGGCTCCCGCAGGGGCAACCACATATTGGTTTCAAAGGGGTTTAACTACTTAAGTTCCCATGGTCCTGCCAGGACCCTCTTCGGCTCTTGGGCCCTGTCCCCTGGTCCTTCTGGTATCAATAGCGGGAGGGTTTCCTCATCCCCTGACCATCCCCAAAGTGGGGATCCCTCTCTCGGCTGGGTATCCACAGTCCAGGTAGTATTCCATCTTCCTCAGCTCCTCCATATGCCATGCTCGACAAGCCTGCTTTTCCCTCTCCGCAGCTTCTTTCTCCTCCCGAAGCCGGCACCGCCACTCACAGGTTTCCGACTCACCCCAATAAGATGGTCATTGGGGTAGTCCTTTTCTACTCCTGTTTTCGGCTTCCTCTTTGGGCACTTTAATCTGCTCCCAGCGCCCAGTCCAGGGATCTTGTAACCAGATCATCTCCCAACCCCCCGGTATATTGTCCCGGTCTCTATTTATATCCCCAGCTCCCGCCTCCACCACAGACCACCCCTTTTCTTCTTTTCCCGCCACTTCTAACTTGGTCTGTGTAGAGACAGTTAACCCTTTCATACCCATCTCTAAATCCCGAGTGTCTACTCCTCGGTGCATCATTCTAGGTGGAGTAGGAGGCGAAGTTGTCTGCACTTGGAAAGTGAGGAGGAATTAAATAACCTCTTAGTGAGAGTGAAAGAGGAGAGCACAAAAATGGTCTGAAGCTCAACATCAAAAAACTAAGATCATGGCCACTGGTCCCATCATATCCTGGCAAACAGAAGGGGAAAATATGGAGGCAGTGACAGATTTTACTTTCTTGGGGTCCATGATCACTGCAGATGGTGACAGCAGCCACGAAATTCTCTTAGAGCTAGTAGGAATTTTCCATGTAGCAACCTTGGCCAGAGATGATAAGGGCCAAAGACATAACATCCAGAGGAATGTCAACAACACCTGCACATCCTATGAGAAAAGGAGGTGGAGAGAGATGAGAGTCCTTCGTCATGATTGGCTTACGTCACTGGAGAGTGAAGAAGAAGGTAGTTCCAGCATGTGAAGAAAATGGCAGGATGGTGACAGAGAGACCTTTTTGATCTTTATAGATTTTTGGATTTTTGAATGGACTTTGGAGTTCCCATTGCTATTGCTAGGATGTAGTTCATAGCAAAGGATAGAGAAAGGGGGACTCAGCCTTACCCACCTTTCTAGCTATTAGAGTTTTCTTATTTTATTTTTATAGCTGGGATTTGCTATGTTTCTAACTACCTTAGTTTATGGAAATGTTCTTCAATGCTATGCTTTGCAACAAACTGAATATCTCTAATTCTTTTTTTTCTAATAAAACAATAATTCTTAAAAACTTATGTTTGGTCTCTTGAGCAGCTAACCTGCATAATTGACTTTTCTTTTTAGGCCACAAGTATGCTACTGAGTCCATTTAATTACCTGAGTTTTGCTGGTCTTTGCAGACTCAGACTCATGGTTTTATCTTTGGTTTTCTCAGTTAATTGTTAATTGGGAACTGATTTGGAAAAGAGGG